TTTCGCACGCACCGGCGGCCTTCATGATGCCGCCCACAGTGCTGATGGCCTACAGTCCGTACACGTACGGCTCGTACTTACCCCCGCCGCTGTACAGTAGCCAGCGGACGCCTTCGGCGACAACCCCTGCGCTGGGCAGCACGGGGCCGGGTGCTGTCCCCACTGCGATGCCGCAGGTGATGTGGTACAGGCTCGGGAACATGACCAACGCTCCCATTCAGCTGCCGCACACCTGGCAGCGACAGCAGCAGCAGCAGCAGCAGCAGCAGCAGCAGCAGCAGCAGCAGCAGCTGCAGAAGCAACAGGGGCAGCAGAAGCAGCAGGGGCAGCACACCCAGCGGCGGAGGCAGCATCCCCACTGCCAGCTGCAAGGCCAGCAGCAGCAGCAGCAGCAGCAGCAGCAGCAGCAGCAGCAGCAGCAGCAGCAGCAGCAGCAGCAGCAGCAGCAGCAGCAGCAGGGGTGGTCGCAGCCCAGTGATGGGTATTGTGTGGCCGTGTCATCACCTCTCTCTCTCGCGTATGAGCAGGGTGGTGGTGCCTGCCAAGAAGAGCAAACCACTCGTCATATGGGCAGCCTGTCCCTGCAGCATCAGCAGCTGCAGGTAGCATGCCCAAGTGTCGCCCTCAGCTCAACCACCAGCAGCGGCAGTTGGCGCGGCCACCGCAGCAGCAACAGTAGCGGCAGCGTGGGTAACAGCTGTGGCCACAGCGGCGGTTTGCCGGACGCTATTCGGCGGCAGTCACGGCAGGCGCCGAAAAAGAAGCAGCAGCAGCCGCCGCCGAAGCCTCAGCTCTAGCCACAGGAGCAGCCGCAGCAGCCGCAGCAGCAGCAGCAGCAGCAGCAGCAGCAGCAGCAGCAGCAGCAGCAGCAGCAGCAGCAGCAGCAGCAGCAGCAGCAGCAGCAGCACCTACCGCAGCAGCCGCAGCAGCCGCAGCAGCAGGATCAGCTGCATCACAAGCAGGAGCAGCAGAAGCAAGAGCACGAGCCGAAGCATCAGGAGCAGCGGAATGGAACAGGATCAGCAGCAGCAGCAGCAGCAGCAGCAGCAGCAGCAGCAGCAGCAGCAGCAGCAGCAGCAGCAGCAGCAGCAGCAGCAGCAGCAGCAGCAAACTTTCCTGCTGGGGCCCCCTTGCAGCTCCCGCACTCGGCCCGCACGCACTGAACTTCATCGCCTTGGCAGTGGCGGGTGCACGTGCTGGCGCCAGCCGCAGCGGGCCAGAAGCTGGGGGCTGTCTGCAACCCCCAAAGCATCGTGGTTGCAGAGTGGCATGCATGAGGGCACAGCGCTGCGGGCCACGCACGCAGCCGGGGGCATGGCGCCCATATGTTTCCGCCAGAGGTTGTGGCCGGCAATAGTGGCGTGTATTGTGCGCCGCCGGGCGCACTCAAGCGGCTTGTGCTACGTGCTTGCCAGAAAGCAGTACGCGGCGACGAAGGCATCCGTGCCGTTGCTGATCAGGTCGCCCTGGCCAGCGCCAGCGGGCTCACAGGCCGGGTCCACGCGTGCACCTGTACCCACTGGAAAAGGCATTTGCAGGCGGGCGGCCTACGAACTTGAGGCCACGCCCGTGCCGCTTGCTCGCTCACATCATGCCCGAGGGATGGGCACATACAAGCTTGCCCCCATGCTTGCCGCGCATGGTGGAGCAGGCGGGCGCACTGACCGAGACCCGCCCATGGGCGCGGTACGACTGGGGGGTTCTTTGTTTTCCCCGCTATGACGGATAATTGCAACACACACAGAGTCAAACACCACCTGCATCTCAGGCCTGGGTCTGCCCCAGGCTGGAGTATGCACATGAGTAGTTGTAATGTTGGACCAATCGCAGCAACACCAATGGGGGGTGTCACGAAAGACTCTCTGACCCACCTGTGGCATGAGCCATACGTGCAACAAGGGAGCGCATCACCCTTACTTGCGGGGACCCCGCCTTGCGCGCTTTCCTGAGCAAGTCTGGCACTCCCCACGGCTGATGCTGGCCAGCTGCCGTCCACCTGCAAGGTGGTCAGCTGAGCAGCTTTTCTGGGGTTCAAGGATTTAAACTGCCTGCTCGGGGCAGCTTGGGGCCATACAGCGAATCTGGATGTGGCAACAGTGCCTTACCTTGCTATCAATGTAAGTGTCATTGCCACCTCGCCCTTTGCTGCGCGTGCTTACCACTTTGCGTGCAACGGCCTGTGCCTCAGGGTTGTGTTGCCAGCGCAACAACTTGGGATGCCTCAACCCTGAGGCGCCTCAGGGGGTTGTCACCGCGCTTGGCGCAACCAGCAAGCTAGCTGGTGTGCCTGTAGGGGCACGCAGATGGTGCCGTCCTTGGCGCCCAGCATCGCTCACACATCTTGTCTGCACTGTCCCCTTCACGTCCTGCCGCACTATCAAACAAGCAATGCTCTTTGGTGGGCAATGCTGCAAGACCTCCTCGCGGGCTGCTGCACGACTGCGTGCGTGGTGCTCAGCCTGTGGCCCTCACTCTTCTTGCAGATGGCGCTGGGATGCCTCCTTCATGGCAACAGCAACCACAGCGTGACTTGTCTTGATGAGACGAGTGTGTGATTTGACCTGGCGTGTGCCCAACCTTTTCAGGTTCCCTGCACGTGCGTTGCCCCCTCATATAGATGCCTGGTGGCTTTCAGGCCCGCAAACGTGCCTAAGAGTAACGAGCAGGACATCAAACGCCTGCATCCACAATAATGCTGGTGGCGTGGTAGAGAGCCTGTAGTCCATATGTGCGTGCACAATCATATCCAGAAACATACCTGCACTCAGACAACAGGCGTGGGGTGGGTGCAAGCAAGCAACAAGGTGCTGCATGCGTGCACCAACCCTACCCTCGATTGCGCATAACATGCCACCCCAAGAGCTGCAACCATGTGTGCTGTGCCTCCGACCTGCTGCCACGCAAGTGCGTCTACGAACCTCTCGCGGTCAGCAGACCTTCCCTCTTAGCAGGGCATGCAGGCATACCTGTATGACCGCCGCAAGGCTCGTGCACATGACCGGGCACAAACGCTTGCGGGCAGCGCCCTGCTCGAGGGCACAGTAGAGGTGTTGCAGGGACGAACCGCAGTGACCTCTGCTCGTCTATTGTTGTGGTGCTGCGCTGCGCCGCTGAGCCACGTCGAACAACTTGTGTTGCCTGATCAGCCCTCGCGCCGCAGTTGGGAGCACGAGGGGCGCATGATTGGTCTTGGTTGTTCAAATTCACGTTGGCTTGCAACCCCACGCATGGCACATGGGACGCCTGCCGAGGGTACACTGGCCAACCAACTGCGGTTGGTAGGCCAGCCACCTAGCTCATCATGCGAGGGCTAATCCCCGACCAGTGCAAATGTAGCCTGTGTTCACCAGCACACTGCCAATGCAGCAAGTCAATGCAAGCAGCATTTCCCTGATGGCCAGCCTACAATCACAGGTGCTGCGACATCCAGAGCGACGCACGTGGCAAGAGCTGCGTGCGCGTCACAGTGCCGCACACGCCAGCGCACGCACGCCAGAAAGAGCCATCTAAATGAAGGCATTCAGATTCAGCAATGCGAGGGCTCTGACGCCGAGGTGGAGGTGTGCTTGTCACTGCGCCTTGTACATCCATGCTGCTGCCATGACAACCAACAGGATGCTTGGACGCAGGGCCTGGGGCTGACCTTTGCACCAGTGGGCTTCCTTGACAAGCACCAGTGCAGCATGAGCAATCACCTCACTACGGCAGCGTTCTCCTTCTTGAATGGAGGACATTGCTGCTACATCTTATGTAATAAGATTTTGCTTGCATCACTGCAGCAGAGCAGCCACCCCATCATCCCGTCGCAGCTGGCCACACTATGATGGCCACAACCCGGCCTAACCTTTGTTTTCAAAAAGGGCAAGGTGCGCACACGCTCTGTAGATCTGTTTGAGATCAAAGCATTTTTTGGAAGTGTGCCAAGCTCCGCGGGCAATGTCGCAGGGGACTTCGCAGCGCAAGCATAGCTAAATAGCCCGTGCAAGCAGCACACGCCGAGCAAAGGACGCGCATATGTATGTACACGATGTAGTCATCGCACTTGCGCCGGTGCACCATATGTATGCGAACAATGATACAGTAATGCTATGCCGGTTGGTGGCTGGACCTGCCGGACGTCGGAGCTGGTACATACGGAGGGAGCCAACAAGAGCTCTCTAATTGGACAATGCCGACGCACCGAAATGTAGTGAAAGTAACCACTGCAATATCTCTGTCTGAAGTTTTGAGCCGCTGCCATTTCTTCATCTCTGTAGCAGCACCCGTCACGCAACTTTCAACCTTTTCAAATTTGGCCATAACGTGCTGGTCGCTCATTGGTCGGCCCACGGTACCCCTCACACCATGCCCTTAAATTCCAGCGGTAGCACGTCGTGGCCCAAGCGCTTGCTGCGGGTGTTGTGTGTTGTGGGCATCATCTGCAGCCTCACATCCATCCTTATAGTCTACGAGCTTCCCTTTGAGATCTCCTCCTTTGACATTTTCAGCGAACACACCAGTGTGCAGCATGTCGTGGTGAAGGCTCGATTGACGCGGCAGGAGCCCAGGCACCATCCCACCAACAAGTCAGGCCTGTACTATGAAAAGCTGACGAAAGTCTCTGTTCCAGCCCATGAGACAACTGCAGATAGGCAGCTGTGTGACGTGGCCTTGCAGTTCAAACTCACTGGATTGTTTTTTCGTGATGAGGCAGGCGAATACCTGTACGAGCCGCATGGGTGCCGTCTACAGCGCTTCACAGCGGCGCAGGCGCGCGGGATACTCGTGAACAGGACGGTTGTGTTCTACGGGGACTCCCTGACGCGGTACCACTTGATGAACCTGGCGGTGTTTCTGGCGACTGGGAAGTTGATGGAGCGATACGCAGGCACGCCAGAAACAGCCCCAAGGTGCGTGGGTGCTGGACTGAAGGGCTGCAGCTGATGAGAAGTACCCCTCAAGATCAACACACCTCATTTTTTGTTTCGCCTTCCCCGCATGAACATGGTCACTTCCAACAGTCTCAATCAGCAGTTCCAGTTCCTGCAGCCCAAGTATGCCACAGACACCAACAACACAAACATTTTGATGGGCCGCGAGTATGGCAAGACCATTGGCATCACCTCCAGCTGCTTCAATTCCTCCGAGAGCTGCTACGACCCGCCGTGCAACGTGATGGCCTTCAAAATGACAACAACGCAGGGCAGCCTGTCGCTCCTGTTCTACCCGCTGTATGGTGCCAAGAATGCGACCCATGACCTGGAGATGCTGCGCACCATCATGCGCAGCTCGGCCGATATGGTCATCCTCAACCATGGGCTTTGGGGGGGCGACAACATGAATGCTTACTTCAAGGACGTCCTGTGCCCCGCAAAAAAGGAGCAGCCGACCCTTGGCGGCGGTAAGACGGAGCTCGTCTGGCGGACAACGTACCGCACGTCGCCGGAAACGCCGCTCAACACTGAGATGGCCCGGAACCTCAGCGGCGTGGCGCGCGATTGCGGGTGGAACGTGCTCGACCTGCGGGAGGTGTCAATGGCTGCGGCGGCTATCAACCTGCCGGTCTACTGGGACGACAAGCACTTCCTTCCGTTTGTGAACGATCAAATCAGCGATATCCTGCTCAATTTGTGGGCTTCTTTGTGGCAGAAACAAGGGTCGAGCATAAAGGAAGTGTGCCCTCCAAACCCTCCCGCTGCAAATGCGCCCCCGGTAACGTGAGAGCAAGTAAATATTTTTTCATTGCTGCTGGAGGATCGTCATCGCCGGCGGGGGTGCTGGGGGGTTTTGCAGATTGCGTCCAACTGTTATGCCTAACGCATGGCCAGAAGTTCCAGCTGCTTGCTGGATCATTATACACTGCTTCATGCATGTTAGCATGCCCTGCATTGACCTGCAAAGCCTCTCTTGGGCATGGTGGTTGTCGGGAGTGCCTGGGTGCGATGCAGCTGCAGATGCTGCAGCTCTGCTCACATCAGATCACGGCGTCTCAAATCCACGATCCACATGTATAGACACTTCAAACTGTGGAACCTGAGAGTCTGTAACGCCGTAGCTGCCATGGTGCTTGCTGAACACCACAAACTCTCACCTTGTATGTTGTCCGGGGCCAATTGCCATCAATTTTGACAACAAACAACTTGTGTGAATTTAGGGCGAGGCCAAAAGTCCTTGTCGGCTGCCAACTTTGCCTGAGTGTGTGACAAAGAGCATTTAGTACACAACACTGTTGCTGTGCAGGTACAAAGCGGGGAACCGCCTCAAAAGGTCTCCCCGCCTGGGAACCACCCACACCAGCAGCCAGGTGAATGGGCGCCTGGCCGCGTAACAAAGTGTGCTGGTTATGCATCGTCTCACACATATGAACAAGCAACTGGAATGGGTTCGGGCGGGGATACCCCACTCGCTTTGAGCATTCTGCTGCGTGCTGCACACTTGCTACCCAGAGCGCGCCCGGAAACGGCTGCAACTCTTTTCATGTCGAGATGCACTTTCATGTGTCACGTTTCATGTGCTTGTGAACCACTGCATCCATGGCAGTCAAGCTGCACTGCATGTTTGTCGTGCACTGAATGGAACGGCATGCTTTTGCCACACGCAAAGCCAGCCAGGGACAGATGCCTTAAACCTGCTCTGTGTTGAGCCCAGCACTTGACCCGTCTCTTGCAAAAAAGCCCATGATAAAATGTGTTCAGCAAACAGCAACCATCGGCTGAATATAAATGTTCACAGAGAACAAGGCTTTGCATAATTTCAACGACAAAAAACCCTCCTGCCCGGGCAAGCGGGCATGTGCCCTGTTCTCGAGGGGCTCCCAAAAATATGTACACAGCAATTTACAACGCACTTGCGTGCATAATCGTTGTCATGAAAGCAAGCGAGTGTCATTTGTGACAGCCGACCTCTCGGCTGTCCCATCAGGACCGATAAAATACCCTGTGGCAGACAGTTTCATGGCTAATACCGCTTGCTGTAAGCATCACACGCATGAAGCACATCATGCAAAGCTTCGTTGTCCACATCATACAGTATGGCATGCATGCTCTGATTGTCATGATGACAGCTTGCGGCGTCTTTATCTGCGTTGATGATGTTATTTTGATAACTGCTGGACTAGCGTATTCGATAGATGTTGATGCTCGGTCGGAGGGATAATTGCTGATCATGACTGGTCAGCATCATGTGCGGGGGGTGGTACAAAAGCTGCCCAATCTTTTTGCCGTGTTTCGGTGTTGCATTGATGCACTGTCTTGACCCCACAACTTCCCAAATCGCGGTTAGATTGCGTGGTATCCAAGCAGGAACCAACGCAGGTGCATGCAACTTTCTTGCTACTACAGCGCATTGTGAGAATGCGTTGCAAGTGGCGGAGGGTAGAGCAATAGACGTCATCAACGTATGAACATAGCAGTGCAGGGTTTTTCCATGCAGCTCAGAACTTATAATCCTGGCTGTTCGTACCAGCAGGCACATGCTCAGTTGCAAACAGGCAAGGGCGCAGGGCAGAGAATGCATTCTCTGTCTGGCCAGCCGGTTAGTGCATATAGGTTGTTTACAAGCGCCCGCTTCGACACTTCCCCTCGTATCAGTTGGGCCCGCATCCCATGGTCCGCAACCATGCATGCTGGTGCCTCTTTGGGTCAGCAGCATGCCCCATCCAGAAAGCTGCCATTCCACCAGATCCTTGCAGCTTCCATGTTGTCATGCCGCACCGCCTGGCCGGACTACTTGTCAATTTTGGCGTGGCTGTTCCATTTGGCTTTTGTTTACAAGCCGGCTGTTCGCCATCCTTTCTTCCCATCCATATTAGGACGCACCACTGCCATCGTTCACCTGAGCGTCAAAGGGGCTGCATGCACTGGATGTACTGATTTTGCAGGCCCTTTACACCGGCACTCTAACTCCAGGCTGCCTGCCGCCCGTGTGCCATGCTCGCGTTATTGTGTCATGCCTTGCAGCGTGCGATCACCGTTGTCCACGGCGGCACAATTTACAATGTGCGTGATCGTGCGGCGGCCCTGCAGTGTGCTGTCTTGAGCAAAACTACCCGGACTTTCCACGCGTCTGCTGCTGCGGTTGCTGCTGCTGCTGCTGCTGCTGCTGCTGGCGGCCGGCTGCCATTTTTTGCGCCAGCACCTCGTCAATCTGCGACAGAGCGCGTCGCTTTTCACCCAGCGTCTGCGCACAAAGTGGTGGATGGGAGGCACACACGGCGCGTCATGTTGCTAATGCAAGAGGCGGCAAGCGTGGTGGGGGGTGGGAGGGTGAGGCAGTTGGGAGCCGCAGCTGCTGCTGTGTGTTCTAAAACGCGCGTGTGCTCACCTGGGAGGGCATGCGCACGCGTCGCAGAATGATTGTGTGCAGTTCCAACAAACACAGCCGTACACATGCCGCATTCGTATGTGGATGTGTCTGTGAGCTCGCCCCTGCACAATCGTGTGTGTGCGTGCACGGGTGTGTGCGAGCATGCAAACATGAACACACGCAGGCATGCGTCTGACAGTGTTCCCACATCTGGCGTCTGCGCGGCTTGAGCGGTGCAGCGCGGCGCGCGGGTCCAGCCACCAATCTGCATAGCACCTCACCTGGTTGACTGTCTTGAGGGTGTCCTCGAGCTTGGTAGACTTCCGGCGGCAGAAGTCGCTGGCTGCATCTGTAGTCATCTGCACGGCCGGGCCAGAGCCCGATGGTGGGCGGGGGTGAAGCGTTCTGATGAGCATGGCCGGCGGGCGCTTGCCTGCCCGCACGCAAGAGTTTTGCCACGGCCAGCAGCTGTGGGGCGTGGCGTTGAGCTCAACAGGTGGGGCTGGGCCCGCTGCCTACACTCTCTCCCACCTGCACGAAGTAGCCGGTGCCCACGTCCACCAGCACACTCCTGGTGTCGGCCAGCTTTGCCGGGACATACAGCGACTCGGTCAGCGGCACCATCAGTGGCTGGCCTGCGGGAGTGGAGGTGCACAGGAGCGGTGGGGGAGGGACACGAGGGGGTAGGACAGGGCAGCACCCACAGGCGGGCCCTGCCATGGACGGCCAGGTGGTCAACGCTCCAGAGAAAGCGGGGGGACAGTTTATAGCTAGAACCAGGCTTGCTGTAGACGCGTCTGATACGTTGCTGCTCCGGGCGGGAAATTCCCGTCAGCTTATGCCGCCTCTGGCTTGCTGTCACTGTTTTGCGTCCCACATTTTGCCCAGTCCGTCCCTCCCCATCCGTATATGCCCTTCTGCATTCCGACCACATATACCTGCTCCCCCCTGGGAGCGCACCTGGCTTGCTATCCGCCAGCCCCTGCACCGCCCTGTTGGAGCTGCTGAAATGGGCCATCAGGCGCTGCAGCTGCATGGACTTGTCGGCAAGGTCGTTGCAGTTGGACTCCACGCTTTCCCGCACGCTGGACAGCTGCGTGGCAGAGGCGCGCATGAAGGAATTCAGAACTTCCGGCGAGCGCCGCGCCTCCCATCTGGGACAATGCGCACGATACCGTGGAGGCGGCGGCAAGTGCAGGCCTGTTCGACATGCGCGCATGCACCTCCTGTGTGTTCAGCGCCGTAATCGGTACATGGTCATCCGCGGATGGAGCAGCCATGCTTCCGTGTTATGCTGCACAAAGCTGCGTGTGAGATCAAGCGATCTGAAGCGTGTGAGATATCGTGTTTATGGTTGAAGTGACCGCACGCTTTCGACTTTGTGCGTGAACAACCATACGATGCTTCGTGCAGCTTGCGCTTGTGGCGCGCTCGTGATCAAACGGGATCTCCGACAGATGACTGCAACTATCCAAAGTGACATCATGGCTGGAAAGTTATCTTCAATATTGGACTCAGCGCAGTGCGCCCCTCGGCGCTCCTTATCCAGGGACAGTCGGTCAACACATTGCAGGCCGCAGTGCCGGAAGCACCCACATGGGCGTATCGCACATGCTGCAGGAGGACTGTATGGCGTGACAGGCAGCAAACTTGATTTTCAGCCATGGCGTGCGCAATGCGCTTGTGGATGACGGCACGCACTGCCGTAGTTGACCGGGGTTGACGCTTGATTTTCAGGCCGGCAGCCATCCTGCCCTCTCACATCATTCTGCACATGAAAGTGAACTAGTCAATTTCATGCACATCCAGCTACTCTGCCTGAAAACCCCCAGGTTTCGCTGTCATGGGCCTAAAGCTCCACGACATGCCTTATAGGACGTTAGCCTTGAAACACCTGTATTCGTATGCAATCTCCACCACAGTAGTTCCACGACACACCACAACACGCAATCCAGGGGGCCCGAGGCTTCTCTGCCAGTGCGCTGTGTGCACGGGCTTGGCACAGGCTGGGCCTGGGCTGGGCGTGGGGAGCGGCTCGAGAAATCCATGAGCGCGTTTCCATGTCAGGCGCCGTGGATGGTGCAAATGTGGCAGATGAATGACCTGTTATACTGCTGTATACCTCTTTCGGTGCAAGAACCTCTAGTTGAAGGACTGCGCGCAAGCCTAGAGATCAGCCATGCCGGTGGTGGGCGTGAACAGGGATCGCCTGTTTCAGGCGCTTGGTCGCACCTACAGTAAGTGTCTTGATTGGTCCCGGGTACCGGCAGCAGCGCAGCCGTCGACGGCATGCTCACCCTTGCCTGAATCGCATTTTGCACAGCCGACGAGGAGTTTGATGCCCTATGCTTCGAGTACGGCATTGAGCTGGACGATGTGGTGAGCACCGTGGTGCACAGCACACTCACAGCCTGCGCGTGGGTCCGGCCAGGGCGCACAGCAGCGCGCGGCATGTGCTGCTTCCTCTTCTGCCGGGCGGCCTTGCGCCCCAAGGCCTCATGCGCAGGGCACCCCCGCCGCCCGACACGTGCCGCCCTTGCGCGCGCAGACGTCAGAGAAGGAGCTGCTCCGCAAGGAGCATGGCGCCGCTGCCGGCGACGCGGCGCAGTTTGCGGGCGCGAGCGACGAGGTGATCTACAAGATCGACATCCCCGCCAACCGCTACGACATGCTGTGCCTGGAGGGCATCGCGCGCGCCCTGAACGTATTCAAGGGCCGCGTGGAGGCGCCGCAGTACCGCCTCGCCGACATGCGGGGTGCGGGGGCCGGCCGCGGGGGGGGGGGGCATCTGGCAGTGGCGGACGG